AAAATCCCCTGACTTAACGTAAATCTATTCGACGATTTCGAGCCTTGTCTTGATGCATGGTCTCTTAGAATTGTTTATTATGATATAAGTATATTACTTTAGTTGTAAAAATGAGTGTTTATTGGATATATATCACTTCAGGGTCGCTTGAATCCGTTTGAACCTCAAAAAGTCACCGAGAAAGAAGAAAGTCACACAGTTTCCCGCCCACCGTGGTCTTTGTTAGGGCGCATGACAGCGCGTTCAGAAACGGTGTTATTCAGAGAGAAGTTTATCGACTGGCCTGACCATAACGTGGACTACACACARGACTTTGTTAAGAAACCTGTCAGTGGAAGCTTTGCGGTTATTTCTAATAAGGTAATCTTAATTACACTATTAACTTTCCAAACCCTAGTTGCTTTTCGTGACTTTGTAAGTTTGCAATGATCGACTGACTTTACAACGCGTATTCATATCCATTCCTATGATATTAGTCCACCTATTTGTTATACAAACAATCGTTGTTTAATCTATTCATGCTACTTTACTAATTTTGTCCATTTACTTATTCAAAAGTCAACCGTCAACGGAGAGGAGAGTCAAGATACAGACGAAACTTCATCCGTACGTTATTATTCTTGCATTCGTTCGGTATTCAGCATCACAGTCTTCGATTGCCATACATCCATTACAAGGAAAATGTTGACAATATTGTTTTTTTAGGACAAACCAGCCAAGAGTATTTTCAGTCTCAAAGCTGTTGATGTAAATCTCATGATCGAACCTTCTTCAGACCCAAGCCTTATACTAGAAAGTAAGCATCACTGCAAGAGCTACAAAACRATCTCTATGATAACTGGTCGATTTGACAATGAAATTTGCAGTTCCCAAGCCCGATGTRCTTAACCTGTATTTTTCATTMTGTTGCTAGATTTCGATATTGGTCGAGGAACAGGATCGATTGATGATGAAGGACGGCAGTTTGCAGTCGTAACTGTTGACATCAAAGTTTGGCACGTCAAAGAATACAGCTATAAAGCGCTTCCTCTGGAAGACTATGGGCATTTTCATTCTAGTGAAGGTACATTATCGTGTCATCATCATTTATAATGTCATCATCATCATAAGAGACTTAACATTAACATTTTTTTCGTTATAAAGGCTATGTTGTGCGATGGAAATACTGTGTAAAACGTATTGGTGTAAAAACCCTAAAAGGTCAGGCATCAAGAAAAGAAGATGTTGGAAGAGATAAAGTGGTTTATTTCTTTTGGCAAGGAAAAGACTCGACGGTCAATGAGAAAGGTGCTGCAGCTCTCATGACCGTTGAACTGGACTCTGACAAGGG